CATTTCACAAACATAATGAATTTCATAAATTGCAAGGGTCATCCTACCATATTAGCCACAAGTCATAAGATATTACAAATAAGCAACACAAAAACCTGCACATTTCATTCAACTAGACCTGCTTATCCAAGACACACTACAGCTATTTAAAACGGTCTTTGAAAAGCTGTATCAGGAAAAAATTTAAATTATATGTATTAAATATTTGGGATTCTTTTTCCCTACTGTTCTGTCCAGCCAGTTCGATTAATCTTAAATTACTAAATAAAAGAATCCCTTCTAAACATCCCAACTAAACATCAAAAGACTGGAGACTGGACCTTTTGAGGTACTATTCTAATTTGAGATATTCAATCATGTAAAACTGTGTACTATATAAGGATACCTAGGTTCCTTTCAACAAATTCATTATTCCATGACCTACCTGACAATGAGTGCCTTTGCTAGGAACATACCATGGTGTTCCAACATTTTTACATCCATATATTCTTTATTCTAAAGAAGACCCACTACTGAATCATCTACATAGTGCCCAGTCCTATCCCTCCCCTGTCCACTTTAGAACTTTCCAAAGTTGCCCAACTGTCTACTACTTCCTCTACCCAGTCAGAGTAAGAGGAGTACTGGCTTGGTGTATTGCTCAGAACACAACATACAAAACCACATTTTTAAAGTTTTTTGGGGTTTTTTGAGACAGGGTCTCACTATGTAGTTAAGACTGACCTGGAACTCACTATGTAGCCCAGGCTGGTTTCGAACTCACAATGATCCTCCTGCCTCAGCCTCCCGAGTGCTAGGATTACAGGCATGCACCACCATGCCCGGCTTTTTAAAAATGTTTTAAAAAAACTTTTGTCATGCTATTACCCTGATCCTTCATATTATTACTTTGCTTAAAACCTTGTATTAGTTCCTACCACCAAGAATAGTAATTTTCAAATTGCCAGTTGCTACCTCAGGGTTGTTAAATCAATCTAGTGGGTCTCCACCATTATTTCTTAAAAATGAAATATAATGGCACAGAATCCACACAAAGATACTATTTTGTGCCATTTTATCATTTACATGAGCATACTAGATCACAATGTAAAACTGTGTATTACCTTTTAAAAGCTTGCAACACTTCTGCCTATAAGCCTAACTCAAACTTTGGTTTGTCCCAAGGCCATCTAACCTGATCCTGAATAAGGCTCTCCACACCTACCTCCTGTTCTGCCCACCAGAACCTCAAGCAAACAATCCCCCTCAGTCTGTGCCAAGCTTTTTTGCACAGCTCCCCCCCAAACTCATTTCAGTGTGGGGAATTAAACCCAGAGCCGCCACACTGGGCAACATTCCCAGCCTTTTTATTATTTTGAGACAGGGTCTTGCTAGACCAGGTTGGGCTCTAACTTGCAGTCACCAGGATTACAAGGGTGTACCATCATGCCCAGCTAGCAGTTCCTTTCCTTAATGCTGTCACGCATACTGTTTTTGCTTTGAATACCCTCTCAGCAGTCTACAGGGCCCACATATATTCACCCTTCAGTATGAATACCTATTTCCTACTACACAAAAAGCTGTTTATCCTGCCGGCAGCAGTGAATGCCACATACACAAACTGTGCCTCTATAATGCCCTACATCATAGCTTCTTCCACATTCTGCTTACTTATTTTACACTCAATTGCCTTCCCAGTCTCTAAACTATACACTCTGAGGGAATGAGCACCTTTGTCTCTGTTCAGCAGCACAGACCTTAAGTGTTAAAAGTTGGTATAATGAAAAAATTAAGAACTTTGCATATAACTTTGTTGTTACAAATGACAGGATGGTTGGCTCTGCAACAAAGCCCATTCATACTACAGTGATGAATCAAGATCTCCCCATTTTTGCTACTAGCCCCTGAGACGGAACCCCTAACAGCCTCCTCAGAGAGACCTGTCACCTCACTAAAAATAGACTCCTTTCAGACTGCAATACAGGAGCACCCCTACCATGCTTCTGGAAGTTGTGCTGGGAGAAAGGAGCAGAGGTCCAAAGGCAGGTAAGATAACAAAAACCTAGCATTATCAAACTTCATTAGTTTATATATACAACTAGCTCTTAACGGTGGTGGGGGTGACACTAGTTGCCAATATAAGTTAAGCAAAAAAAAAAAAGGTAGCATAAAATAACTGGTTGAAGTTAACTTGATTTCTGTTGTCTACACTAATATGTCTGAAATAGCTACTGACTCACTCACTGCTCACATAAAATACTAGGGGGAGGGAGGTTCAACTCCTACAGGGCTCCTCACTGACACTTAAAACCTTTCAATGGACTTCATTTTCCATGAAGATCTTTCTTTTGGCTGGGGGTTTGGTTCAGCAGTGCTGCCACCTCCCTTACAAGCACAAGGTCCTAAGTTAGATCCCTGGTACCAAAAAGAAAGAAAGAAAGAAAAAAACAACTTTCTTTTTACGTGGTCTGATGCACCTATTTTACAAACCTATACTTCAGCTGCCCTCACTGCAATTATACTTTCACACAATATCCAGGATTCTTTGACAGACTCTGCCAACTGTCAGTTTCAGTTGTTCTTTCTTTTCCAGTTTATAAACACAGGAACCATAATTTTTTTCTGCCTAAATCAATTACTTATTTTACTAAAAACAATGTATTTGCTGAGAGTTTGCCTCTAGACTTGCAGTTATATACCTAAGACACAGATAAATCCTATGAAAACTCAGTATTAATAAAAAATGTATCTGTAATATGTAAAACTCGTCATGCGAAATATTACATTTAAGATACCAGTCAGAGTAAGATAATGTAGAACTGCATGGGTAAAACTTTAAAGGTCATTTATTTTATTTTTATTTTTTGGTACGAGGGATCGAACTCAGGACCTTGTGCTTAAAAGGCAGGCCCGGCACCACTGTGCTAAATCCCCAACCCCCTTTAAAGACTATTTAAAGTTCTGCTTTCTTTGGCTTTAAATAGGTCCAGGCAACTAAACTGTTGCTACCTTCATTAGGTATAAACACCTCCAAAATGTGGAAATTTCTGCAAATGTCTTGGCTGTGTGCTTTTCTAATTCTACCTACTCTTACCCTTTCAACAACTCAGATCCAACAGTTCCCTCTCCATGAGAAAGGGTCACAGTCCAACAATAAACCAGAAAAATAGCACAAATGCTCATTTCTTTTTCTCAAGCCCACCTTTAAAATGCTATTAATAAAAGGGCAAATAGACTTGTTTGTAAGCAAATTTAGTTATGCTAAGTTATTTCCATGGGCTTATTTTATTTTAAATACCAGCCCCCTTGATACTGTAAGTGCAACCCATACATACTTTCCTTGGTAAAATGATAGGCATTCATATAGTCTAAAGGTTGTAAATAACTGATTTTCTTTCACAATGCTACCTCTCCAGTCTGAAAAATGTAGACTTCAACGTGAAAAACTACCATTTGATTCTGTGTGTGTGTTCATACACATTTTAAACACTGAGGCTGCAGATGTTCAAGTCAAGCTATATTCCAAAAGTTTTGAATATGAAGGTCTTTCACTATTTTCTATCATTTAAAAATTGATACAATTTATCCACAACACTTTTCAAATGCCATTATTTCCCAGGTTAAGTGCTTAAACAACTTAAAGATTAAAAAAAAAAAAAGCTACCTCCATCTGAAAGATCAGTTAATCAAGAAACCATGAAAACAGGAAAAAAGAGAAAAAATTCATTTTACAGGCTAGAAAAAGCAGTATCTTAAAAGTCATTTCATCTCTAAAAGTCATTTAAAACTCTAAAAGTCATTCAATCTCTAAAAGACTCTACACAAGAAGTCCATAGAGATTAAATAATTTGCCTCAGGTAACTAAGTTACTAATAGAAGCACCGCAAATAGAAAATGCTATTTTAATTACTCTTAGCAGTACCTCAAAATAATGTAAATGACTTGTCATTTGAGTCTTAAAACCAATTATCACCTCATTAGTTCCGGAATAAAGGACTTCTTCAATATTATTTTCTTAATTTTTAAAGTTTAAGCGAATAAAGTTCAAATTCTAACTCTCATAAAGTACCAAGAACTTTAAGAAAGTGTGTGTACACCCTTAAATGGTCAGTGAATTTGTGTCCATCATTTAAAACTGTCCTTCAACTGCACCTATCATGTTTGCTCAACTTTGGAAACGGAAAATTCTGGAAGTTCCTCGTGTAGGAAAAAAATTGGCAATCTGTCAAAGACAAGAGCAGATCACTATTCCAATAATGTGTGATAAGGTTCCTATTAGTACTTTATCAACTACAGTGTGAAGAGTTAAACCTTTGGGAGACTCATTCTTGGCTGGCTTTGGATATGAAGATGTGGATCTGACATTAATACAAACTGAAGGTCTAAATCTGGGCGGGGGGGAGAAAATGGAAAAGTGAACAAGCGCCTTCCACCAAAAGCTTTCCCTATTCCAGCTCTGATGTCGGCACCCCGTGCACCCGCACTAGGTAGACTGCATCGGTGAGACTTTCAAATTTTCTCTTTTAATGCCTCAATAAATCAACTCTACGTTTTCACTTTGTACATTCAAGGGCAAAACAGAGCACACGGTGAGAGCAACAATTTACAATGGACCACGTCCAAGGACCATAGTCTAATCACTCGGTACAATCGTTCCTTTGTGCGACTGATTATTTCCAAAGTGCTGAGAAAATGCAGTACAATACTTCTTTTTGAAAGATACTACCGAGAAATTTGGATAAACTACCAGGTTTATCAATGAAATAGCATTAGGTAGAATGTGTTTGTTGTCTGTTACACACAAAAAATATCCGTGTTCCTTGATGACCTCTGGTATCATTCTACAAAAATAACTTGTTAAAAGGTTAGTACACCTGTATTTTAAATAAGACCAGCTTAGCAAAGGGGCAAATTTGCTTGGAAACAACACAAAAGTCACCACCACCGTTCAGTAACACACACACACACACACACACACACACACACACACTAGAGGCCCTGATAGGTATAAAAATCCTTACCCCATTTTGCCCAGTGAAAACTTGCTCTGAAGCTTCTGGTCTCGGGTACGGAATAACTTCCAAAGGAATTTCTCCGTCTACTATTTCGCAGTTGCTTTTCCACCACCCCCCTCCAGATCCGTTTTCGTAGGTATTTCAATGATGCTGACAGTTCAATTAGTTCTCGTTGGTGAAATGACTTCTCTCTCGTTAACACCAAAACGTTCAAACAGAGGTGACATTTGCTTATTGGAGCTAAATGCTGCGCGGGGACAGAAGTCAACTCTATTCCGCAAATGAGCGTCCAGGTAAAGAAACGCAGAAACCAGCTTCAAGAAGTCCTATAGAAAATGAGTTCGCTGGTCATGTCGCTCGCGTTGCCCTCCGCACTCAGGGAAGGACAGGAAACTCGGCCTTTTTGAGGCTAAGGCTGTGGGTTCAAATTTCTCCACACCAGGTCCCGGGGGTGGAGCGTGCAACCCAACGCGACGTGCACTTTAATTAAAAAAAAAAAAAATCCTAAAAGCAATACCACTGCTTCCCTGCGATCACATTAGAGAAAAATGAAAAAAGAAAAAAAAATGTACTGAAAATCTCGAAGCGCCCACCCGGCAGCTCGCGAAGTGCACATTAGAATCTGCCTTCTCAATGTCTCCCCTCTGGAGACTCGGAGCAGAGCGGAGGTGGGGAGGAGGAAGGGAAGACCGGGCAGGATCGATGCGCTCTCCCGAGAAGGCTGAGCGGAGCCATTTCCCGGCGGGCAGTGCTGGGGCGCCACGGTAAAGGCGGGAGGGGGCGAGCCCACCTCAGCCCCGGGCCGCCCGCCGCCAC